GAGTCTTGTCTTTGTTTGAAGATACATTGGTTCAAATTCCAATTTTTCCTATTTTTCTATAAATAATACAAAAAAATAGTTTTGAAGACAAAAATATCATACATACTTTCAGTCTCGATATAGAAATTTTGAAATGGGGAAAAAATTTCTCATTCCAGTATTATATATTGTGTATAGTGTATATGTAGACGTGTCTTTGCCCAACATATTCATTAACACATAAAAAGGGTGAAATTAACAAACATATTAAACTTAACCTCGTCTAATGATTGTTGGATCCAATCATGTCGGATTAGAAATGGGTTTAAAACTTAGCAGTTACCAGGCTAAAACGTTCAAAGGACCAGTGTCATTGAGATCACACAAAGATATTAATATGATTGCTTCATAGTAGTTCTAAAAAATAATAAGAATTATGCATATTCAATACTGGATTTTGATATGGAATATTCGAACCATTGATATTTGGGTTATGATTTTAAAGTTATCCTTATTTAGCCATGTTATTCTTTGTTGGTTTGATTCTGTTTGTTTCTTCGTTTGGGATAGGGGTTGTTTATCTTGTTGTCTCAGGTGCGTGACTGTGCCTTCGTTGTGTAACTTGTTTAGCTCTTAACTCATTATTTAATCAATGAGTTTCACTTTAAAAAAGTTTATTAAAATAATCACAATATAAAAATTGATGTATCGAACACCAATAAGTACTTATCGGATTTTTACTTGGCAAGCTAACCATTGAAAAGTGATGTGATTTTCCGATTTTAGCTTCATGTGTGTTTTTAATTAAAAGGGATACGACAAATTACTGTAGTGTGATTGGTTACAACCCTTGTCTTCTGTTTAAAACAACCAAGGTTCAAATCTTGCAGGCAGTAAAATTATTATTATCTTTTACTTATTAGAAAGTAAGATGACATTTAATATTATAACCCTAGCTACAATTAAGGAGGATGGAGGGAATTCAAAATGGAGAAAATCTCACAAAGAACTTCTATATTATAATGGAGGATTACATGGCATGACGTGTGTTTTCTTTTATCTCAATATAGTTTTCATGCTTTGGTTTAAATATTTCTGTCGAAATTAAAGTTAACTCTTATGTTAAATGGGATGAATCTAAAGAATTTAAAGTAAATTCAAGACAATTATTCTCGATATATAGGCATTGATCTTGCGCTTTTATGTGGAACAATCCCTATTCTACTTCGGAAAATCTCAATGAGATTTAATAATAGCGAATAGAGATATATCCAATTCAGTGTGCATGATGATCATTAAGTGCTCTATTCGATGAATAATTATGGGGCTATTATACGGAGATGCCTCTGAGGTTCATTGAAGTAATAATACAGTATTTTGCCAAAACATAAAAAGATCCGGGGTAAGCTTCCTATTTGGGTAATTTAATCCATAAAGTGTAAAGGCAAAATGTACAAGTGTATTATATTTTGGAGGTGTCTTATTTTGCATTAAAATCAAGTGACTAAAGTTGGAGTTGTCAAAAGACATACTCAACACTTAGTTTAATTTATCTTCCTCCATTAAGTTTTATGTGAGTACTAATACTCACAAAAGAGAGGAGGGAAGATACGAGATAAGACTGAATTCAATTACTAAACTTCAAATTCTCAGTAAAGGAACAAATAGAGAGTTAAGGATGTTATGGTTTTGTTGACCTCTTAAGGACATGGTGAGGAGTATTTCTACTTACTAGACTCCATTTGGATAAAAGTCATAAAGGTTACAATGTACATCCTAAATTGAGTATCCATAAGGTAGTTAATGTAACCAATATGCACAATAAGGACCTTGCACATTTAGGGTTGTCCAACTTAGGAAATACCTTATAAGGTACAAGAAGGTATAATGGACAAACGAATTAACGTATAATTTGTTGGCTACTCAAAAGTACTCTCTAGGCTACAAGTTATATAATCCCACCTCAAGAATTTTTTAACCGAGAAATGAGAGATTTCTTGAGTATGTTGAGTTTTGGGGGAGGAAACATAAGGAATCTAGTTACTGCATAAACTCAACAAACTCAAGAAGTGACATTAAGTATATCCACAAAGTAGAAGATGGACGATTCTGGCTTACAATATCGTTGTTCTTCAAAGAATATATACATGACATCAGGTTGACTAATGATCCAATTTTTATTAGTTAAGTCATGAACAGTTATGAAAGGTGTATTGATGCCATGCAGTGAAGTCAATGAGAGATATAAGGCATGTTGGTCTCTAAAGGCTTTACTCATAAGGGAAGCATTGAGTCAATGAGACTTTCTCTCTATATATTTGAAAGAGTCTTTAAGGAATATAATGGAAATGGTGGCTCATATAAGCATCTCATTATTGATATCACAATTTTTTTATCATGTTATTAGCTCATTCAGATTTAGAGACTAATGTTGGAGATGATTGTGTATATCTTAAGTTCAGTGGGAGTAAATTCATATTCCTATTTTATACATCATGGTTGTTCTACTTAAGGTACAAGTAGAATAAGTTAGTAAACCAGGAGATGTGTTGTAGCTAAGGAATACAATTTTTGTCTCAATCAGTGCCCCAATTATATATAAGAAATTAAGATACAAAATCTCCATGATGCATATTTGCATTGAAGATCTAATGTATACTTTAGTTTATTCTCATCCCAATAAAGCATTTCTAGTAAGAATCTTTAGTAGATATTTGATTGATCTATGCATGAAACAATAGAAGGATTCAAACGTGTAATACGTTTACTAAAGTTGATAAAAGAATTCATGCAAACTTGTTAGAGATCAGATAATTTAGAGATCATCAAGTACTCTGACTTTAATGTTACAGGATGTCAAGATAGCATAAACTCTACATCAGGTTACCCTTCAGTGTTGGGTAGAGTTCAAAGCATATCTTGAGACTTCCAATTATGGTTGCAAAATTTTTGTCACTAGAATGACTTTCGAAAGTCATTAAAGGTCAACCGGACAATAATTTGATAGTGATACACTATCATTACCACGGATTTAAGAAGTAAAATATATTGACATCAAGCTCCCGGTGGTTAAAGATAAAGTTCAAAATAGAAAAGTTTCTATTGAACATTAAGGAAATGACTAATGCTAGCTTATCCATTAGCCAATGGTTTGACCACATAAACGATTTTCCATGAGCATATTGCTCGCATGAGTGTTATTCCGGATGGTACCTTAGTTTAGTGGGAGTCATTTAAGTAGTTCAATAGATTATGACTAAATCAATTCTGCAGAATAAAGTGATGGTTTTCTAGAGTCTATTTTGGAAATTAAAGTGCCTTCAGTTATATAGTGGTCACATTGTATGACGGAATTTCAGTTGATCTCACTAAGGACTAAAGTAGGACCAGTTGAAAATAGGCATGTTCAAGATCACATTGCATGTAATTTTCATGCCACTTATTTGATCTATGTCACTAAGTGTATTGCTGTGGTGATCATGGTGGTTTAATTATTATCGTATTGTGATTAAAGTTGCGTCGGTTCCATTATTGATACATGAGGTGGACCAGATTGTTTCAGGAGATATCTAAGTGATATGATTGCGCGCCTACAGAATTTTGTGATATGAGTGTTTCAAGAAAAATATGTAGCCCAAGTGGGAGATTGTTAGGAAATTCCATTTCCGAATTAATTATATGGGCCACATATTTTACACAATCATATTAGCTATTTGTTTAAGTGGGCTACTTATAGTGATCTAGTTGAGGAGCCCAAGACTAATCAAACCCAATATGGATCCAATGGGTGGAAACCCAATACTTGGTCACTTTGGGTTTTATGGGAGTCCATGGTGATTAGTATATAAAGTGCTTGAGGTTGTGATCCCCAACAAACCAAGACCAAACAATCTCATATTCTCCCTATTAGGAAGATGAGAGCTCCCCCGTAAAAGAACTGAGGCGGTTTGGTTGAGGAAGGTCATAAAACCTCCTGGATCGTGCTCTATGAGTATCGTCCAGTTCAAGATCCTCGTTCATATTCCGCATCAAGTCTCTAACGATCAACCGACATGATTCCAGATATTTCTAAAAACCTTTGATAATCCGACGAGATGAATTCCGAGGAATTACATCTGTTAAAAGTAATTCTAACAGGGGGAGCTGTGGTTGGCGTTGGCTGAGTTAAATTTCCTGGGGGAGTTTTTTTTTATGTCTGAGGTAGATAATGTATTAGATAGGGAATTACAATTATAATGTATTAGATAAAGGTTCAGGAATTGGCGAGTGGGTCGGCCAGGCCAGAGTGCCGAGAGAGACGGGGGCTATATTTTCGGGAGAAGATTGGATGACAACAAACGAGGGTAGTTATCATAAATGGTCACAAACCTATTCACTTTGTACAAAATGGTCACAAACCTTTAATTTTGCACGTTTTGGTATAAAAAAAAAATTTGAGTGAATAACAAAAAGGTCAATCCGTCCACTTCCGTTCAAAATTCTGTTACTTAGGTCCAGTCAGCATGAAATATCATTAAAAATCATGGTCCATGAAACCGTACCGGAGATCGTACCGGAAAAGTCAGCGGTAGGGTATTTTATGACAAAATCGTGGTTTTACCGTAGTTTAACCGTTAGTACCGTTAAATACCGCATACCGGTTTAGCCTCTGATACTGGTATTTTGTGGTTGAACCGCCGGTACGGTACGGTTTCATGGACTATGTTAAAAATATTAATAAAAATAAATAAATTGTTTGAATTAACCGAACAACCCTAACCGGTTCACTATTTGTCTCCATAGCCATCTTGCACATTGGCGCCTCTGATACAATAAAAAAGTTTGGTATTGCCTGCATCAACATGACCCATAGCACAACAAATTGGTGAACAGAGCGGAGGGCTTCTTCACGCTCATTACTGGTGGCACCTGAACTTGATGGCCCACTTTTGGCAGTACCACAAAGTTTCTTCCGACTCTGCTTGGTTTCACTTTGCTGAAGTTTACTTGCTTGCAAGGAGGCATGAGTTTTGGCTGGTAGGACAATCTCATTACCTATATTCAAAATAGTTTCAGGCTTGGAAACAAACTCGTCTTCAAAAGCACCTTGGACATGTTGACATCATCAGAGCTTCTAGTGTCCCATTCATCATCACTGTCCGCTTCTTCCTCCACTCCATTTATCTTGGTTTCATCAGCAACTTGCGGTGTTTCTGTTTTCAAAAGCTCAACCTTTTGTCCCACAGAAGCAGCACTATCTTCATGCTTGTGAACAACGGGGTTTTGTCTTCTTACTTACGTAACTGGTCTCTCCGTTGGTGCTGCTTCATTGTCCACCATAGACACCCCAGGACTAGCATTATTGGCAAGAATTGATTGCTCATAGCTTTCCATCGTCGCTGTTCCTCCTTGTATTTCAGTCTAAAAATTTCCCCGCCTGTTTCTTCTTCAGGAGTTTCTCTTTCATTCTTTCCTACTTCAGGCGCTTGGTCTCCTCAGCTTGACTCGCAAGTTCTTCTTCATCTTCTCTTCCCCCTCCCTAGCAATGGTTTCTTCAAATTCCTTCCTTCTAGCGAGCATTTCCTGCATCTCCCTGACATGCTACGGGATCTTCTACTTCTTATCTGATGCTGCTTTGCCCAAGTACTCCCGCACCTTTCTGTTCTGCTGGTACACCTGGTGCTCCTACATGTTCCCCAAATCCAAGGCAGCAGCAGCATAGTTGTTACTCCTCTGCCTCTCTGCTATAGCCAGCTGTGTTTTCCCCAGTGGTAACCAGGTCCAGTGTGCCAAGTAATTCTCTTCTAAGTAATAGGTTTCCGAAAATAAACATCCACATAGTTGGACTCAGAACCCCTTTCTCTACGGTTTTCATACTAGGGATGGAAGTACGAAAACAGTTGGCCGAACCAAACTTCTGCTGCCTAGATAAGCAAGAACTCAAGGGAACTGAGTAGTAAAACCACAAATCCAAATACATAGAAAGTGGAAACAAGCAGGCGGCGCAAAAGAACAACAGATTTTACTGCAAAAGGCTTTACGATCGTCATGATCGTAGGATTGCAGAACATTCATAGGTGTGCTAGCTAATATGTCTAAACTTTAAAGCACTGAAAATCTCACAGCAACAGAAAAAAGAAATAGGTAATTGTGATCAAGCCACCAGAAACTTCAATAGCATACATTGAACTGAATAACAGAGTCATAATCTAGGAGGGGGAGAGACAGAGTCTCTAACAAGGATAGAGTCATGGAAGCCATAGTACAGGATTAAAAAGGCGGAAAAAAAGCCGTAACAGCGAGCACGCTGTGCATTCGATCACCAAACCACACCAGCCGGAGGAGGAGAATCACGAAGGAGGAGGACCACTCGACGCCGAGGCAGCCATCGCCGCCAAGTACAACTTGATGTCATCTCCGCGCTTCGGCCACATCGCGTCGTGTACTTCGGTCCGTGAAATTGTTTCTCGCCGATACATAGTAGGCCCCAACAAGTCCATCAGGGCATCCTCGGGCATAATAGGCACGTGATTGCGCAACTTTTTCCTCCACTTCTCCATCTTCACCGAATCCACACCGGCGGCATCGGCGGCGGCGGCGGCCGCCGCAGCACCAGCAGCAGCGGCATAGTTGCGACTCCTCCGCCTCTCTTCTATAGCCAACGTTTCCATCTCCAGCGACATCTGATGCGCAGGCATATCGGACGCCATGACAAACCCAAAAACGACGATTAGACAATTCAATTTTCCGGGAAAAAGCCAAATTAGGTCTCGCAGCCGAATGATTTATACAAGAGAAGGAATTAGGTCTCGTGGTTGCCAGTTGCCTTGCCTCTCTTCCCTAGTTCCCTTCTTTACCTTTCCTTTTTCCAATTGGACCAGTTAGTTAGTTAGTTAATTCCCCATTCCATAACCAATTCGGAAACCAACTTCGGTTGATGGCCATTCTCGGCCCATAGGGCTCAACAAAAAAAGCCCTTCCAAATTATCCATTTCAAATCATAATTTGCTGGCTGCCTCGTGTGGCTCAAATCCGTCGTGGGGCTAGTGAAGTATCCTCCATGGTCGAGATTTACTTTCTCGTGGGTTGCGTTGGCAGGTAGGTTATGGTTTTTCCATATGGGTGTTTGAAGATGCTTGGTTACCCACGTCTCCGCCGTCGATTCCTTCTCGTAGACCTGGTGCCCCTGCTTCTTCCCCGTTTGTTTCGGCGTTGATTGATCCGGGATCTTGCACTTGGAATATGGCAGCCTTACGTCTGTTTTTCAGTGCTGATATTATCAAGCTAATCTCTTCAATTCCTCTTCCGCAAATCCAAATCCCGGATAAGTTGATATGACATTTTGAGCCATCAGGTGTTTTCCAGGTTCGGTCAGCTTATCATCTTGCTTTTCAATGCTATCGTTCTGGAGTTGGTAGGCCTCGTGTAAATCAAATGGATCATGATATGTGGCTTTGGTTGTGGAATTTGAAATTGCCACCAAAGCTTAAATTTTTTGTTTGGCAATGTCTTAATCAGATACTGCCAACTAGGGAGGCCTTATCTCTCTGGGGTCTTGATATAATCCCGATTTGTCCGGTTTGTGGTCGGAAGGTGGAATCGTTAGAACATCTGTTTTTAATTGTTCATTTGCTCGAAAATTGTGGAGCTTGGTTGGTTTTCGTTCAAAGCTTGCAGGTTGGGATAAGCGTTCATTTGCAGGTATGGTTCGGGAGGTGCTTTTTCATAAGAGCGGGAGGGTGGATAATTCTTATTTTAACCTGCAAGTTATAGCCATGTTTTGGCGTATTTGGAAGAACAGGTGTATGGTTCTTTTTGATAAGCAAAAGGTCTGCTTGGAGTCAAGGGCGGCGGAGTGGCGTCATCAGGTGAATGAAATTGAGTCTGCCTTCTTGTCCGCATCTCTTTCCCCGGCCATCCCGCTTCGATCTTCTGTTCCTACAGGATCAGCGTTTCCGCATGATGTTCATCAATTCCATGCTTCTTTCGACGGTGCCACTGGGAGGGGGGATGCAGGTGCGGCAGCGTATGTGATTAGGGACGGCTCATCTGATGCGGGGATGGTGTTTCCAATTGCAGCTACGGCAACCATTTATGCAGGGATCAAAGATGCTCATGTTTTGGAGACCCTAGCTCTTCGGGATTGTCTCAAGGAATGCAGCACAAGAGAGCTCACATCGCTTCTTATTACGGGGGACGCGAAGGTTATCCTGGATAAATGTTTGGCAGGGGATTTCAATGATTCTAAGGTTGGCGCAATTTTGCGTGAGATCAAAGCCTTGTTGGCTGGTTTTGGGGGGTATTGTGATCTACGTTTCGTAGGTCGTCATAGGAACAGGGAGGCTCATTTAGTGGCCAAAAAGTCCCTGAGTTTGTCGCCTTGGGTCCTGTCGAGGTTCGACTATGTGTCTTGGTTACGTAGTTTGTAATTGACGGTGTGTGGATCTTATCTCCATCTCGTTTGAGATCGGTTGAATGGCAAAAAAAAAGTATCCATTTCAAGATGCAAAATTTCAATCCATTGTAAGTATATACACTAACTAGCTATTGACCCGGTTCGTTGGCCGGATTACTTTAAGTTACCGACTTGTGGAATGAGGAAGTGAGCTAAGAGAGCATCCATTTGAGTCGAACACACAATTTAAGTCTATTTGAGTCCATATAATTATACATATGAAACAATAATATCGACCATCTAGCTATACAGTAAAGAAAATTTCAAAATTTACATTAGATTTGGGTGTTCATTTTTCTTTTGGGTAGCTAGTGTAATGAATATAATTTAGACCCAAACTAAATGGTTGTTTATTGGTATGATCCAAGCTAGTGTAATTGACTGGTAATAAATTGGGTTTGAGATGGATGTTTTTTGCCATTCATAGAGGAGGGAATTTTTAAGGCCTCGTTTGACATTAGTTGTTCAATCACCACCACATCCACCGCTAAGGTATCACTTACCCATGAGACTTTTTAATTTATTGCAAAATGAGATGATCTAAATTCCTTCAGTTTTGGGTTTCAAATTAGAAAATTTGCAATCACTTATTTACATAGTTTTCATCTCCTACTTTTAAATGCACGAGATTTAAAGTTTCTTTATCTAAATTTCATAGCAAACTATGAACTTGAAAACACAAGCAGAGGAGAGTAAACAACTAAAGATCACAATGCTTGTAGTTTTAGTGGTATGAAAATATATTTGAGCTCATAGATCAATTAAGTGCATCTCATCTTTCATTGAAAACTAAGCGAAATTTAGAGAGTCATCCACTGTTATATAAATGTATTTGAGTAAAATATGTTTGTGTTAGGGGTAAAGGTCGAGAAGGCCACGCGGCGCACTTAGTCTTTCCGCTCAATTACCCAAAAAATTGCGCTACTCCGATATTATCCGCCATACTGCCAATCAATGTAGTCAAAATCGCGCTTTAAAACTTAAAAACTTACGATTTTACGCTTTTAGGTCACCAAAACGCTTTTGTTTCCATCTAAAAACTTAAGCGTATAAAATCGGACTAAATTGCGCTTTAAATCTTAAAAACTTATGATTTTACGCTTTTAGTTTACCAAAACGCTTTACGTTTTTACGCTTTTAGTTCACTAAATGAGTATTCTTTTCATGAAATTAATTATAAAAAGTATATTTTAAAAGTAAATCACCAACAATATGATACATTTGAGATTTGAATATACATATCAGGTACTTGGATGCATTCTCAACTTCAATAGCGTAATCTAATTCACGTGCTAGACTTTTCCCAAATTCATTAGCATAGAAGAAAAAGTGGCTTACTGTTAAAATTTATGTTTACGAACTTATTATTAAGATGCTATAAGTTGCTCTACTTTAAGCATGAATTGCATGTATTTATTAACTTATCTAAATTCTGTGCATTCATATTTTATATAGTATATGTCCTATTTAATAGATTTTTAATTATTACCCCTATTCTGCTTTTACGCTTTGATACTACGCTTTACGATTTTACCCATTTTCCGCTTCTAGGTAGAATCGCGCTTTTGACTGCATTGCTGCCAATCACGAATCCCGCATAAAGGTTCTGCGTAACTGAATCCGCGGAAGGCAACGCCAGTGGGCTCGCATATCTGTCTCTCACCACCTTGTCTTGTCATCGGGATTTGCCCACCACACCCAAAGAAGCTATAAATATCACATTTACTACACTTAGAAAAGGGGTTAGGGGTTCTCTCTCTACCCTTCTCCCTAGATTTTCCCCTTGTAACCTCCCAATTGTAATCTCTCCCTCAGTATATGACTCGCCTTTACCGTCACACTAGAAAATAGCCAAGTGTAACTACTTACCAGAGCGTAGTATAGCGGGTTTGGGTTTTAATGTCAACCCGGGTCCTAAGTGTGCTGACTACTCCGTGAATTCTTATTATTTAGCAATGTGAATGTAGTGAAGGTCTTAGTAAACAAACAAGCAAAGCAGTAAACAGTTGTTTTCAAGTTGAGAGAGGTCACCCGGATATGGTTCCCCCTAGACTGCCGTTAAGTCAAATTGTAATTCACCAAGTTCAAATTCAAGGATAGTTATACTGTGGGAGGTTCTTAAACAGTCTGCAGTCTCGACTAAAGGTCTCCAGACCCTCTCAATCTGAGTCCCCAGCGGGCGACTAACCTCCACCGGAGTAAACAGATTGAGGCCCTAACGAACAAAACCTCCCCTATTGGAGTAAATCCAGTGCAGAATAGTGAATTGACTCCTCGACTAAAGTCGTCAATTCACTACCTTCAATCAAGGGTACTCTATCAACCTAGGCAGATATTATCTTTCTAGGTCAAAGCAGGAACAACAAGAATGTGATCAAGATTCATGCCATTCATCAAATCAAACCTCAATTGAATATAATCAAACCAATGGATTCATACTTGGGTTCATACAATCAGACCTAGCATAAAAAACTAGGGTTCTCCATACCCAGATGAATGAGGAAGTTAATCCATGGAGAGAGAAGCAAAATCTTGCTCAGATGCAGAAATCATGCTGTGAAGGATGGGTTTCTGCTTCTGGTCGTCAATCGGCACTTCTCCAAGTGTTAACCGAGCTCTAATGGTGATGAAGATCAATCTAAAGCACTTGGGAACTCTGGTTTGTCGCTTTTTCTCTCTAGGTATGGCTTTCTTTCTCTAAAACTCCGAACCCTTCAAATTTTCCCTTCTTTTCCCTTAAGAAACAGCCATTTGCGATCCCCGGTCAGAATCCCCGGTCGGGTATTTTAGGTGCCCGGCCGGGTATTTTGAAACGCAGTGCAGTGGGGAAGGGAAAATACCCGATCGGGTATTTTAGCTATCCGGCCGGGACCTCTTCTGGGATTTTGGCGTCCAAAACGTGTATCCCCGACCTCTCCTTGCCTTTTACCCGGCCGGGTATTTTCACTCCTGGCCGAGTATTTTGCTCCTCCAGCTCCCTTTTACTCCAACGGTCCCCTTTTTGCCGGAAACTCGATTCCTCGCCTCTACGTCAATGCCAAGTCCTGAAATGTGACATATACACACAACCTAGCGTGAAATCGGCTTAAAAACGAGAATCAACATCTCAAGCGGCTCAAGAATGGAGGTAAAAATATGTGCAATTAACGGTCTATCAGTATACATTCGAAGGTTAATCTGGAATCAAGAGGGGTATCTGTTCTCTTGTCGAATATACATGAAGTCCACTCGCAAACCTCCTACTCTCAGTCTTGCACAAACAGTTTGGAAACTGATATTGCACGCATTTCCAAAGGTTAGTAGTGAATAAGAGAGTATATATATACTACGTCAGTCGTACATTGTACGCCCATCGAGTTTTACTATTTAGAGCCCGGTTTAACCGGAGTTTGTGGCATGATACTTACCCTAACCTCTAATGGGTGAACCCCAGTCCCTAATTCCATAACACAAGCCCCAAGATTCATTTAATCTAAAAACTAATGACCAACGGTTCTCATTCAGCAAAATATATTGAAGTGCAAAAACCAAGTGTGAACATAGGCGTACAGTGTACGTTAGCCTTTGCCATACATATATATATATATATATAGCCACCATATATATATTAGAGGAGTATATTATACCTATAACCCATTAAGAAATATACAATAAATTTGTTTAGTCTAATTTGTTATGACCAAGACTGTCACTCGATTTCCACCAATGACTTATTTAAGCAAGTGGGTTAAGAATTAATGACCGAATTAGATTAA